AGTAAAAACATTTATGTGGAAAAAATACATGTAACATAAAATTTGCCGTCATCATTTTTTATTTTATTATTTTTATTTATTTATTTTTTTGAGACGGAGTCTTGCTCTCTCATCCAGGCTGGAGTGCAGTGGCACCATCTCGGCTCACTGCAACCTTGGTCTCTGGGTTCAAGCGATTCTCCTGCCTCAGCCTCCCGAGTAGCTGGGATTATAGGCGTGCGCCACCACACCCAGCTAATTTTTGTATTTTTAGTAGAGACGGGGTTTCAAACTCCTGACCTCAGGTGATCCGCCCGCCTCAGCCTCTCAAAGTGCTGCGATGACAGGCGTAAGCCATCGCACCTGGCTGATGCTACCTAATGCATTTCATGTGCAAAACTTGGGAGGGACCATTTTCCACCCAGGGTGGCTTCTCCACCTTAATTAAGACCTTAAGTGCGTCTTAATCCGATCACCCGAAACATCTTCTCTGTCCCAGAAGCTAAACCAGGGAGGCATCCCGGGACAAGACGGGCACCAATCTTTTCCCAAACGCCCCCTGAGCCTGGCCAGGGAGATGCTGCCTGCAAGGCTGAGTGTGACTGGGCCGGGGGACTCAGGGCATCTTAGCGGCCGCCTCTCCGTCCTGTCCTGTCCCTGACCTTGCAGATGCAGGTGACAGCCTGCCCTTCCGTTTTTGTCTTTCCAGCCCCGCCTGCCGGATTGGGTTCCAGCCCTGCCCACACGCCCGGTATCATCCCGCCCACACTCACCGATGTCGCCTAGCAACCCGGCTCGCCGCCAGCATCCGCAGCCCAGGTCCCGGCGCTCCAGTGCTCTGGCGGGGAGGGAGGGAGGGGTTGCCTCTCCAGCCCCCTGCAGCCCGGTGTCTTCCCGCCACCCGCCGGCCTGCTCCGGGGACCGCGGCCCGGTGGGACGAGGGCTGGGCAGGACGGGTCAGGAGCGACTGCTTTTCAGGCCCGTGGGCTCCGTAGCCCAGACGGTCCCTCCATCTGCACCCAATCCTTTTGCTAACCAACTGCTTGATTTTGCTGTCGCGCCGCCGCCTAAACTTGGTTTTTTGGAGTTGCTAGGAGGGCCGACTTAACTCTTTGTCAGCGGGGCTGGTTTTCAACCACCTGGTGGTGGGAATCCTGTTTGGCTTTCCGGGGAGCCGGGGATGGGAACGGGAACTGTGGGTGGGAGGCTTCCGAGAGCCGCCTCTCCCCGGGCGTAAGGGAGGAAGCAGGCTGCAGGTAAGGCCTGGGGTTCACAGCAGGGGACAAGGTGCCTCCCACCAGGGGCTACTGTGATCGCCAGGCCTGCCAGGGCATGCCCCTTCCCCTGTCCCTTCCCTCATCCCTTCCCTCTGTCCCTGCAGCCTTAGCTGGAGTCTCTCTCCGGTAATGAGATGGAGACAAATTTGAGACAGAGTCTCACTGTGTTGCCCAGGCTGGAGTGTAGCGGTGCGATCTCAGCTCACCACAACTTCTGCCTCCCGGGTTCAAGCGATTCTCCTGCCTCAGCTTCCAAGTAGCTGGAATTACAGGCGCCCACCACCATGCCCAGCTAATTTTTGATATTTTTAGTAGAGACAGGGTTTCACCATGTTGGCTAGGCTGGTCTCAAACTCCTGACCTCAAGTGATCCTCCCGCCTCGTCCTCCCAAAGTGCTGGGATTACAGGCACAAGCCACTGCTCCCGGCTGACAAATGGTGTTCTCTTAACCACCAGAAAGAGACACGTCTTTTGGTGTCAGAGCGTGGCTCTAAGCACTGAGGTTGACTCAGTTGCTAGTGTCCACCTGGCCTGCCCGAGATCTGGGAATACAATGACGATCCAAGATCTGGGAATACGATGACGATCCAAGATCTGGGAATACGATGACGATCCAAGATCTGGGAATACAATGACGATCCAAGATCTGGGAATACAATGACGATCCAATTGGTGGTAACAGGCTTCCTGACAGGCAGAGAGTTCACATTCTAAAGGGGAAGACACATACCAAATCGTTTCAAAGATGCATGGTTTAAACTCAAGGAATAGGCCAGGCGCGGTGGCTCACGCCTGTAATCCCAGCACTCTGGGAGGCTGAGGCAGGCAGATCACCTGAGGTCAGGAGTTTGAGACCAGTCTGGCCAACATAGTGAAACCCTGTCTCTACTAAAAATACAAAAAATTAGCTGGGCGTGGTGATGCAGGCCTGTAGTCCCAGCTACTCGGGAGGCTGAGGTGGGAGGATTGCTGGAACTCAGGAGGCGGAGGTTGCAGTGAGCTGAGATCGAGCTGCTGCACTCCAGCCTGGGTGACAGAGTGAGACCCTGTCTCAAAAAAAAAAAAAAAAGAAAAGAAAGTGGAACTGGAATTGACAAGATATCCTCCTCATGGATTGGCCGGGAGCACAGAGGAATCCAGGAGGGCTCCCTGGTGGTGGTGGCCGTCATCTTGGGCCCTGAGTAAATGGCCATGCTGCTGCCGCGATGCTGATGAAGAGAGGGGCTGTGTGTGGACGGAGTGTGTAGGAAGGGAGGTGAAGTTCCCAAGAAATTTAGAATAGAGTGGAAAGCAGGAGAGAGGGTGTGAGGTGGAAGAGGCCAGTGGCGGAGAGGCAGCCTGCCCTCCGGGGAGGCTAAACCAGCAATTCCTGTTGCTGACAGATAATCCCTACTAGAAGGGGACCCCTCGGTGGCTCCCCACCCCCTTCCTTTGGTCTAGGCATGAAACAGCAGTCCCTCCACACCCAGCCCCTGCCACTCCCGTCCCGCCGCCCCCACCCTGCATCTGCCTCCTCCCCACTCTGCTCCCCACCTGCCCCGACAAACACTGCCAGGGAAGTCCTGTGGGCCGGAAGCTGTCATGAAACTCTTCCACTGTGACCAGGCCTTAGCATCTGAACACCCTCCGCCTGCCTTCTGAGGGTTTGGAAACGTGGCGGGGGAAGTACTCTGTGGGCAGAGACATCTCTTCCAAACTCAGCGTAGTTACCTCCTCCTCCAGGAAGCCCTCGGGGAGCCTCCAGAGCATCTCACTGTGTGTCTCTAGGATGGGGCCAGGGGAACCCTCAAGGACCGAGGCAGAGAGCTGGGTTATGGGAGACGTTGGGACGGGTGATTCTCAGCCGGTGTGTCTGTGTTCCCAGGGGACCCTTGTGAGGGGACAGCCTGAGGATGCCCATGCCTTGGGGAACAGCCACTGAGCAGTGCCAGCCCCTTGGGCCCCTCCCAGTCCACATTCAGGCTGCAGTTTCTGGGAGACCCCCACCCAGGACCCTGAGAAGGAGGTGAAGAGGCCAGCATTTGGGGTCACCTACATCCCACGGGAAGGACGGCACGGCTCACACGGAAGACAAATGATTTCCTTTATTTCCCCCGCCTCCCAGTTTCCAGGTAGCTCTACAAAGACATTGAGAAAGAGCCACACGCAGGCTGTCCTTCAAACACGGACAAACAAAACCAAGCCAGTGGCTGGAGCCCAGATATGCCCAAAGGTGGACTCTTCTCATTCAATGCCACTGGGCAGCTGGCCATAAAAACTGACCAAGCGGGAGGTTTGAACAGGTTGGGGTGGGGGCTCAGAAGGGGGTGCCCTCACATCCGTCAGTGCCAGGAGGCGCCTGCCCACCATGGCCAGCATCCATAGGACGGCGGCACCTCCCCGGGTCCCCCAGGCACGGGTCCTGGGCCCTGCTCCCACAAGGGGGTATTTGGGGACCCCCTGCCTCAGGGCCAGCCGAGGCGTACATCAGGGAGGGAGGGAGGAAGGATGAAAGCTAAACTCCAGGCCTCAGCGACACATGGCAGAGCAGGTTTTCTCTGGGAAAGGCACTCAGTGGTACAGGGCTCAGGGCAGGTGGGGGTGCCTCTGGGCTCCGGGTCTGACTGTCGGGCACAGCTGTTCCGGGGGGAGGCCCAGCCAGGATCCTCATCGCCCGTCGGCTGTGTCCACCTGGCCCTGTGGCCCTCCCAACAGGGGACAAGCCTGGCTCAGGCCCTGCTGACACCCTGGTTGTGGAAGTGTCTGTTTGGAGCAGGCTGGGCTGGGGACACGGGGATGCCAGCTGGGTGCTCCCCTGGGCTTGTCCTGCACACGTGGTAGGGCCCCAGAACAGGGCCTGATTTCAAATCCATGCCGCAGAGGCATCCAAAGAAAGTTAGTTTGTTTGTTTGAGACAAGGTCTCGCTCTGTAACCCAGGCTGGAGTTCAGTAGTGCAATCTCGACTCACTGCAACCTCGACCTCCTGGGGCTCAAGGGATCCTACAGCCTCAGCCTCCTGAGTAGCTGGGACTACAGGCTTGGGCCACCACATCTGGCTAATTGTTTGTAAAGATGGGGTGTCACCATATTGCCCAGACTGATCTCAAACTCCTCGGCTCAAGCGATCCACCAAGCTTGGCCTCCCGAAGTGCTGGGATTGTAGGCATGTACCACCACGCCCGGCCCAAAGGAGGTATTTTAAATTCACCCCTTCCTAAACAAGGTGAGGTTAGAGTCAGCAAGAAACTCCCCAGTTTAGAATCTGCTTGCTATACTGCTGGCCCACCTGGCCGTGGGGGACCAGGCCCTCCAGGAGGGGGTGCTGCTCCCGGGGCTGGATGGTGTCATTTCTCTAACAATTTAAGCACAAATGTTAAAAAAAATTTCTTTTAAGTGACAAGGTCTTCTTCTGTTCCCCAGGCTGGAGTGCCATGGTGCAATCACAGCTCACTGCCCTCCTGGCCTCAAGGAATCCTCCAGACTCAGCCTCCCTACTAAGTAGCTGGGACTACAGGTGCACACCAACACTCCAGGCTAATCTGTGTGTGTGTGTGTGTTTTTTTTTTTTTTTACTAGAGACAGGGTTTCGCCATGTTGGCCAGGCTGGTCTTGAACTCCTGACCTCAGGTGATCTGCCCACCTCGGCCTCTCAAAGTGCTGGGATTACAGGCATGAATCACTGCGCCTGGCCACCAACCACGCCAAGCTGATTTTTAAAAATATTTTGGAGAGAAGGGGGTCTCACTCTGTCATCTAGGCTGGCCTTGAACTCTCAGGCTCAAGCAACTCAGCCTCCCGAAGTGCTGGGATTAAAGGCATGAGCCATGGTGCCCGGCCTGAAGCACAAGTGTTTTAAAAGAAACCTACAGAGCGTTACTCAAAAGGAAATGACCGTCGTCCAACGTCAGGGATGATGCTGCCATTGGTCAGTGGGCACACGTCCAGGAGTGCAGGGATGCGAAGGCCCGCAGGCTGGGAAGGCAGGTGGCTCACACGAGCCCCTCTCCATCCCGCTGGCCCCGCTTCTTCTCCCCTGGGCCCTCCTCGGCCTCGCCAGGTCCCCGCTGCCTCTTCCGGAAGCGGGCCCCAAGCCGGTGTCTGGGTGGCAGGAGATCCATGCCCAGGACCTTGTGGGTCTGCCGGAAGGCCAGCATTCTCAGGGCGTGCTGCAGGGCACATACAGCCCATCAGGACCCCCGCCCACCCTGCTACCCGAGTGCTGAGGACACAGAGGGGCTGGCATCTGTAGCCACTAGCAGATGGGCCAGGCCTATCCTGTGTCCCTCGAGACACTCCCCCTACCTTTTTTTGTGGAGACAGAGTTTGCTCTGTTACCCAGGCTGGAGTTCAGTGGCGCAATCTCAGCTCATTGCAACCTCCGCCTCCCGGGTTCAAGTGATTCTCCTGCCTCAGCCTCCCAAGTAGGTGGGATTACAGGCATGTGCCACCACATCTGGCTAATTTTGTATTTTTAGTAGAGACAGGGTTTCACTATGTTGGCCAGGCTGGTCTCGAACTCCTGACCTTGTGATCCGCCCGCCTCGGCCTCCAAAGTGCTGGGATGACAGGTGCGAGCCACCCGGCCTGGCCGACACGGCTTCTTACGACTGCTGAGCTTGGGCCACCGCAGGGCCTGAGGAATTTTCGCTTGGTGCTAGCTGACTGCAAGGACTGTCCCAGGAGGCCCCCCACTCCACTGACCACCAGCTCTTTCCACCTCACTGCAGGACCCCACATCCTGCACCGCGAGCCATTTCACTGATCCCTTTAAAAGCAAAATTCAGGGCCGGGCGCGGTGGCTCAAGCCTGTAATCCCAGCACTTTGGGAGGCCGAGGCGGGTGGATCACGAGGTCAGGAGATCGAGACTGTCCTGGCTAACATGGTGAAACCCCGTCTCTACTAAAAATACAAAAAACTAGCCGGGCGTGGTGGCGGGCGCCTGTAGTCTCAGCTACTTGGGAGGCTGAGGCGGGAGAATGGCGTGAACCCGGGAGGCGGAGCTTGCAGTGAGCTGAGATCACGCCACTGCACTCCAGCCTGGGAGCACAGCGAGACTCCGTCTCAAAAAAAAAAAAAAAAAAAGCAAAATTCAGAAACGTCAGACCCGCTGTGGTTTGGTTTTCGTGCTGCTGGGAGATTTTTCTTATAAACAGATTTGCAAACAAGGAAACCACAGGTGAGGGCTGGACAGGCCGAGCTGCTGGCTACAGCTGGGCTTCTAGGACCATGGTCAGCAATGTGGAGGGAGGACAGTCCCTGCCCGTGAGACGAGGTCTGGGCCTCGTTGCAGTGGTGGCTTTGGCTCTGAGCTGCCAGCCCCATGCCACCATGCCAGGCTGGCCCTGTCCCCATGCACGGTCCTGCCACCTACAGGCCACCCTCCTGTTCCTGTACATCTCAGTGGGAGGGAGAGAAGGTGGAACCTGGGCCATTTCGGGGAACACTGCACAGCTGCAAGCTGGAGCTGGGACCTGGGTGTCACCCCTGCCATGGACTTGGCCCTCCTACCTGGGCGCTGGCGGTCACGTCTTCCCGCTCTTGGAGGGTCATGGGCTCGAGGGCGTCTGTCTGGTCTCTCTCGCAGGGATCCTGGAGTCCGGGCCCATCTTTGTGAGGGGGAGTGGGAACAGCAAAGAAGGCGAGAATGCCCTCGTGAAAGACGGTGACAGGGCCGTCCCTCGACACCATGGGGCCCCAGGGGCCCGTGCAGAGGGCTATACTTGCAGCCTCTGACCCTCAGGCCTCTCTCAGCAGGTCAGGGTTTCACCCGGGCTCATGGGGGGTCCTCCCAGCCCCTCAAAGCCCGTTGGGCTGCCAGCACCTCCTGGGCTTTGTGTGTGTGTCTGTGTGCACCCGTGCATATGCACATGTATGCTGATGTGTGTGTCCATGTGGGCCCATGTGCGCCCATGTGCCCATGCGTGTCCATCTGTGCATGTGTGTGCCCACGGGTGTATGTGCATGTGTGCCCGTGTGTGCACTCATCTGTGTGCATGCATGTCCGTGTGTCTGTGCATGCATTCATGTCTGTGTGTGCCCGTGTGTGCAAGTATGTCCATGCATGCCTGTATGTGCACTCATGTCCACGTGTGTGTCTGTGCGTGTGCGTGTGCGTACCCACACATGTGCTTTACATAATGGCTCAGGCAACGGGCCCAAAGCTTTATGCTCCCTTTTCACTTGATATCCTATGTCACTAAAAATGACTCAAAAACACCCTTTTCCGTATCTGACCGCCACCCTCTCACACGAGTGCGTCCTGCCGCGTTCTCTTCCCTCTGCCGGTGTAGAACGCACTGTGCTGGGCAACTCTGCGCCCCCTGTCATCTGAGCTCCTGGCTGTTCCCTCTGGATAATCTTTGGAGGACAGGCGCCGGGGTGGCTCTGTGCCGCCGCCGGCGGGCGTGGCCACCAGATAACATAACCGTTGTCTCCTGGGTGGAGGCTGAGACCTCCCTTCGGGGACCTGTGTGTCTGTGCCCTGCGTGCAGGGTGGTGTCCTCCATGGCCGCGGCCCTGTCTGCCTTCCTGCTGGGAGCATGTGTGTGTCGTGGGCCGCTCTCGCGCCTGGGCTGGACACTTCCTCTGTGTCTGTGACCCCAGCTGTTTGTACCACGGCCACGGGTTTGCTGCCCACCTTCTGGGCCCTCCGGCCCGGCGACTGACCTGTCAGGAGCGTCCCGGTGGCCACGCACTCCAGGACTCGCCTGACCGCGTCCCCAGGGCCCAGGGGCCCCGCCGCACTGCTCACAGCCTTCTCCACCAGCAGCTCCATGGCCTGGTGGGGACAGAAGAGCGGCTGCTGTGCTTTTCGGGGGTGCTGCAGCCCCTGTCTGCCCGGGAGGTCCTGGGGTCCCTGGGATAGGAGGCCCCCTTGGCTCTTTCTCTAACTCCCACCACCCACTGAACTTCCGCCGAGGAGGGCGGCGCGTGGCGTGGCTCTGCCACCTCCTGGCACGGCCACGGGCTGGTTTCTTTTTTTTTTTTTTTGAGAGCAGAGTCTTGCTCTGTCACCCAGGCTGGAGTGCAGTGGTGCAATCTCGGCTCACTGCAAGCTCCACCTCCCAGGTTCAGGTGATTCTCCTGCCTCAGCCTCCCATATGGGCTGGTTTCTCCACCCCTCTGAGCTTCAGTTTCCCCAGTTGTTCCACAGTAACATCACACACCAGCGTCACACATACTGTCTGCCGCGTGGGGCCCGCCTCAGCTGAGGGGAAGGAGCCGCCCTACCCCACCACGTCCCCGTGTGGCCAGCTCCCGAGGGCAGGAGGGGATGGGGCAATGCTGGCCTCCACGGCACTGTGTGGCCGCCTCTTCAGCCACAGCCGGAAAACAGGTCTCAGGGAACACAGGTTTTCTCCACGTCGGGACAGCCGCACGCTGGTCACCCAGCACGGAGCTGGCTGCTGTGACCTCCTCCCAGGAGTGGAGAAGACGTTTCCCCTAAACAATGGGTGTGAAAGGCCGGGCGCGCTGGCTCACGCCTGTAATCCCAGCACTTTGGGAGGCTGAGGCGGGCGGATCACTTGAGGTCAGGAGATCGAGACTGTCCTGGCTAACATGGTGAAACCCCGTCTCTACTAAAAATACAAAAAACTAGCCGGGCGTGGTGGCGGGCGCCTGTAGTCTCAGCTACTTGGGAGGCTGAGGCGGGAGAATGGCGTGAACCCGGGAGGCGGAGCTTGCAGTGAGCCGAGATCGCGCCACTGCACTCCAGCCTGGGCGGCAGAGCGAGACTCTGTCTCAAAAAAATGACTACAAAAATAAAAGTGAAAAAGAGACTTAATCTCTACCAAAACAAACAGCCTCTGCACCACGCTGCATTCTGGACGCTGGGCAGCGGGTGGGTGTGGATGAAGGACACGGGCCCGGTGGCGGGGACCACAGGCAAGACATCACTGCAGTGTGGGATGGGGGGACACCACTGCAGCATGGCATGGGGGACACCACTGCAGCGTGGCATGGGGGACACCACTGCAGTGTGGCATGGGGGACACCACTCCAGTGTGGGATGGGGGACACCACTGCAGCGCGGCATGGGGGACACCACTCCAGTGTGGGATGGGGGGACACCACTGCAGCGTGGCATGGGGGGACACCACTCCAGTGTGGGATGGGGGGACACCACTGTAGCGTGGCATGGGGGACACCACTCCAGTGTGGGATGGGGGGACACCACTGCAGCGTGGCATGGGGGACACCACTGCAGAGTGGCATGGGGGACACCACTCCAGTGTGGGATGGGGGGACACCACTGTAGCGTGGCATGGGGGACACCACTGCAGAGTGGGATGGGGGGACACCACTGCAGCGTGGCAAGCGTGGGATGGGGGGACACCACTGCAGCGTGGCATGGGGGACACCACTGCAGAGTGGCATGGGGGACACCACTCCAGTGTGGGATGGGGGGACACCACTCCACTGTGGGATGGGGGACACCACTGCAGCACAGGATGGGGGACGCCACTGCAGGGTGGGATGGGGGACGCCACTGCAGGGTGGGATGGGGGACGCCACTGCAGCGTGGCATGGGGGACACCACTCCACTGTGGCATGGGGGACACCACTGCAGCACAGGATGGGGGATGCCACTGCAGGGTGGGATGGGGGACGCCACTGCAGGGTGGGATGGGGGACGCCCACAGGGCAGGGGAGGAGGCTGGGTGTGGCTGGCTTGTGGCTGGTGGAGAAGGCCTGGGGACTGGATGGGTTCCTGGGGTCTCTGTGGGGGGCATGGGCTTGGGGCCTGCTCCATGAACCTTGTGTGGGGGGTTCTGCTACTTCTTCTCCCTCCTCTTTCTACCAGGACAGGCGGGGGTGGTGTGAGAGCCACAGGGGGTCTCCTCTCCAAAGCAGGTGGGTCTGGGCTGGGTCAGCCAGAGGCCGGTGTGCAGCCAGGATGGGGAGTCCGGCTTCCGCCCCTCTGCCTGGGCCCCTCTGCCTCGGCCCCTCTGCCCTGGTGCCACGAAGTCAGGCAGACACCGCACATTTCCCTGGCCGGTCCCGCGTTTTCATGCGAGGTTCTGGGTTTTGAATAATGGTAGTCAAATGAGGCTGTGGAGAGGGCCGGCTCCCCCGCCCAGGGGACCTCAGGGGCTCCCACGGCCTCTCGAGTGCTGCGTCTCCCGCCGGCTCCTTCATGGGAAAGGGTTTGTCTCTCGACCTGGGCCTGTCACGGCCACGGAGCCCCTCGGGGGTCCCAGTGGAGGGCTGGGACGCCAGGCACTGCCTTACCCAGGCTGGCAGGGCTGCCCAGGTGGGCACACGCCGGCAGAGGTCCCTCAGGACCCTGATGACGATCACGCATGGCTGCAGGCTGCTGGCTCGAGCCTTTGGGGGAGAAGCACACGGTTCACTTTCGGGGGCTCACACGGCCACATGGTGTGGCGTCGTGAGCATGAACCCCGGGGAGGACAATGGGGAGCCCTGGCGGCCTCGAAGGTGGCAAGTGGAAGCAGAGTCCACTTCCAGATGAGGCCGGTGCCACCAGGCCGTTGAGTGGCCACGGGACGGCAGCGTCCCCACCCCCAGGACAGCACCCACTCCTTCCACGTTTCCTGACCTTATCAGCCAGGAGCCAGCGTTGGTTGTCAGCCAGGAAGCTGATGGAGGGCGTCCTGGTCTGCGCTGGGAGCCCATGAGGCTGAGGCGGCCACGCCGGCTCAGGCTGGTGCCTCTGAGACACGTTCCTCAAAGTCACCCCTTTCCCCCTGCTCCACCCCTGCCCCCCTGACCTGAAACCACCGGGCATGACGGAGGGCGGCCAGGGACTCGAGGCACTTCTCGGAGCTCAGGACATCACCTGGGTCAGCCTGAGGCTTCTCCACGCCTTCTAGAAGAAAAACCTCAAGGTGTGCGGGGAAGGCACCTTATCCCGCTCTGCTGCCGATGGGGTGAGGGGCTCGATTTGGGCCCCTCAATCCTTTCTTTTTTGAGACAGAGTCTCACTCTGTCACCCAGGCTGGAGTGCAGTGGCACGATCTTGGCTCACTGCAACCTCCATTTCCTGGGTTCAAGTGATTCTCCTGCCTCAGCCTCCCAAGTAGCTGAGATTACAGGTGCCCGCCACCACATCTGGCTAATTGTTGCATTTTTAGTAGAAACGGGGTTTCACCATGTTGGCCAGGCTGGTCTTGAACTCTTGACCTCAGGTGATCCTCCCACCTCGGCCTTCCAGAGTGCTGGGATTACAGGCGTGAGCCACCGCGCCCGGTCTCAATCCTTTAGGCCTCGTTTTATCCATCTGGGGAATGAGGGTTCCTCCCAGATTGTCCTGCTAAGACACAGTGAGGACCAGACAAACCGTTCCTGGAAAAGTCATCATCTGGGAAGTTCTGAGCTTACCTATTGCTACTGAGGGATTTCAGCCCTGACGCTCTCGCTTAGCCGATGAGGGTGAAGATGGGAAACTAGGAATTAAGCCAGATTTCTAGAAACTTCCACATGCATCATGAAAAGGGAGAAAGTGGGTCAGATTTCAACACGTCCTGTTGTTGACCACAATGGCCCCAGAGTCTGGGAGAGATGTGGGTCCCTTTTCCGTCCCGGGTTATTATTTTCCTTCAAGAATATTTTTCTCGGTTGGGCGCGGTGGCTCACACCTGTAATCCCAGCACTTTGGGTGGCCAAGGTGGGCAGATCATGAGGTCAGGAGTTCAAGACCAGCCTGGTCAACATATGGAAACCCTGTCTCTACTAAAAATACAAAGATTAGCTGGGCATGGTGGTGCACACCTGTAATCCCAGCTCCTCGGGAGGCTGAGGCAGGAGAATTGCTTGGACTCGGGAGGTGGAAGTTGCAGTGAGCCAATATCGTGCCACTGCACTCCAGCCTGTGCGACAGAGTGAGACTGTATCTCAAAAAAAAAAAAAAAGAAAAAAAAAGAATATTTTTCTCAACTGGAAAACAGTGGTTCATTCCTGGAATCCCAGCACTTTGGGAGGCTGAGGCAAGAGGATTGTTTGAGCCCAGGAGTTTGAGATCAGCCTGGGCAACATGGCGAGACCCTCTCTCCACAAAAAATAAAATTAGCCAGGCATGATGGCACACACCTGTGGTCCCAGCCAATGGGGAGGCTGAGGCAGGAGAACTGCTGGAGCCCGGGTGGTCAAGGCTGCAGTGAGCTATGACTGCACCACTGCGCTCCAGCCTGGACTACAGTGACACACCAAAAACCAAAACAGGATATTTTTCTTATTTCATTACATACAACACTGTGGGAGGGCCTGGTTCATTTAGGTCAGGGGATGGTGCCCAGGTTTCCCACTGGTTCACAACCATCCCCGCTGATCTGTCAGGGAAATGACTCCTTTGGGGCAGAGAGGGAAATGGCAGAGGTATATATGAGGAACGGTTTTTTTTTTGTTTTTTTTTTTTTTTGACGGAGTCTTGCTCTGTCTCCCAGGCTAGAGTGCAGTGGCGCAATCTTGGCTCACTGCAACCTCCGCCTCTTGGGTTCAAGCAATTCTGCCTCAACCTCCTGAGTAGCTGGGACTACAGGCATGTGCTACCATGCCCAGCTAATTTTTGTAATTTTAGTAGTGATAGGGTTTCACCATGTTGGTCAGGCTGGTCTCGAACCCCTGACCTCAGGTGATCTGCCAGCATCGGCCTCCCAAAGTGCTGGGATTACAGGTGTGAGCCACTGAGCCTGGCCAAATTTTCTTTTTTTAGAGATGGGGTCTCACTACGTTGCCCAGGCTGGTCTCGAATTTCTGGGCTCAAGCGATCCTCCCACTTCGACCTCCAAAAGTGCTGGGATTAGAGAGGTGGGCTGCTGTGCCCGACCTAGAAAGGGAGTTTTAGAAGCTCACCTCCCACCCACCATGCTGGGCCTGGGGAGGGGAAGTGGGGGCAGGAAAAGGCCAACAGGAAGTGCAGTTTCCTGGGGGGTGGCTCACGGGTCTTCGGTCGCTGATCAGTCCTCACAGGATTTCCGCTCACTTCATCACCCACCCAAGCCAGGAAAGAGCCGCTGTCTAGTGGCCGCCAACCCTTAACCCGCCCCCACCACGGCGCCACTCCCCAGCCTCCTACGCATTTGTGTCAGAGCTTTCGGCTAGCGCTGAAAGGCACTGTCTTCCCCACACTGTACTTTTTTAGATGACTATTTGCGAGGACCAATCGTGGCTTTCCATTTAATGATTCAAAGGCTCTTCTTAAAAAAAAAAAAAAAAAAAAAAAACTGAAGCTTTAAAAAACAAATTGGGCCGGGCGTGGTGGCTGACGCCTGTAATCCCAGCACTTTGGGAGGCTGAGGTGGGCGGATCACCTGAGGTCAGGAGTTCGAGACCAACCTGGCCAACCTGGTGAAACCCCATCTCTACTAAAAATACAAAAAAATTAACTGGGTGTGGTGGCGCACACCAGTAGTCCTAGCTACTCGGGGGCTGAGGCAGGAGAGTCACTGGAACCCAGGTGGCGGAGGTTGAAGTGAGCCGAGATCGCGCCACTGCACTCCAGCCTGGGCGACAGAGCAAGACTCTGTTTCAAAAAACAAACCAACAAAAAATACCAAATCGATGGAAAGAGAAACCTCAGTAGGTCATGGCCCTCAGTTATGACCAAAAAAGATTATAAAGGGGGTGAAAGATGATAGGAGTTTGGAAAACTGCCCTAGAGACTGTTCTGGAAGATTCTACAGCTGGCTGAGACTTTGGGAGCAAAGACGTGCAGTGTGTTACCGATGGCTGCCTCCGCTGTGGCTGCTGGCCAAGACCCTCGCTGCCCCCAGCCTGGCCCAGCCCCTCACCCACCCTCCCAGGCCTGGCAGGTCTGGCTTTAAGCTCCCCGATCCCCCAGGTTCCTAATCAGTGGTACTGGGACCGCGGTGACTGACGGACAGAGTCAAACTGAGCTTCTGCCGTGACCCGGGGGAAATGGCTCAGACCTGTCCATTGTCGCTGGGGCTGGTGTTGCCAGGACCGGAGAAGCAGGTGCCAGCCCTGGGTCAGGGCAAGAGAGGTGACACGGTGTCACCCGTCCGAGCACGGCCCCTGCAGCTAGGCTCTGAGCCCATCTGACACTGTCACCGACTCGCCGCCTCTGCTGCCCGGACACCCAGCTCTTGTGTGACCCATGGAATCCTTGGGGGACACCAGTGCTGGAGTGTGGCTGCTGTGGCATTTTCTGCTCAGGGCAGAGGCGGACACTGCCCCAGGCCTGGGCGTGGGGAGCGCCCTCGGGAAGCGTGCAGGGGGACAGTGGTTGGAAGGAAGGGCTGGGCTGCACCTGGGTCTGTGGAGGGGTCCTCTCGCATCAGGGGTGAGGTGACGGATATGGTGACCTGCATCCTGGGCTCCTCGCAGGAGGAGATGACAATGTTGGCTTCAGGGTCAGAGGAGACCTCATACTCATCTTCGGTCACCATCTGGGAGGGATAAATACAACACAAGGCCACCTTACTGCAGCCCAGATTCATGTGTAAATCAGCCAGGATGTGGTTGGTGTGTGTAAGTTAATCCTGTCGGGTCTCCCACACTTGCTGCCTGGGTGCCAGGCCCTGTGCCCTGTGTCTGAAACCTCCAAGTGACCAAGACACAGCTGCAGCCCTCCAGGAGCACACACATGTAGAGATATGTACAGACAACAGACCCTGTGATATAAGGAGCCTCCATATGTAAAGAACACCTATAATTCAATAACAAGAAGATCAGCAATCCAATAAAAAATTGGTGAGTGAAGTAACACATACTTGGCAGAAAAAGAAACACAAATGGCCCTTTTTACACAATGACACACATTACCCCATAGTCAGGGAGGAGTAAATTAAAACTAATGAGATGCCACCATCTCCTGTCGGAAGGACATAGTTCAAGAGGTCTGTGTCACAGTCTGCTCTTCCTGTCCATGGTCATCACCCTCCATGCGGCCTGTGCTCACACCTGAGCCTGGCTTCCCACCTGAAACCCACCTCTCTCCCCTCTCTCCCTGATCTTCCATCCCTTCCCTTCTCAGGGCCTCCCTGCTGCAAGTCAGCCCCCAGGGGCTCTGTTGACATGACTGGGGTGGAGGCTGCCAGCTTCCCCACAGCCTTAGCCATTCTCATGGTACTCAGTTATTGTCTCTGCCACCGGGCTGCAAGTTTTCCAGAAAGCAGGGGCTGTATCTGTCACGTTGTAGCCACTGACATGTTGTAGGTGTGCAGGAAATGTGAGATGCTATCATGGAAGTCAGAGCATGTCACTCCCCTGCTCAAAACCCTCCAGCCTCCCCACTTCCCTGAGAATGCAATCCTAGCTCCTGGTATGGCCTTCAGGCCCAGCTTGATCCAGGCGCCCCCTCATTCCCTCATGCCCACCCCTCCTTGCTCTGGGCCTCCTGCTTTTGGCCTCTGCAGGTGCTGATCCTTCTATGGGGAACACTGTCTCCCCGACCAGGCGCTGCTCATCCCCTGGGCATCCAGTGTCCACTGGAAAAGTCAAAGGAGTAAGGCTGAGTTATCCTAGGGATGGTGACAGACGCTCAGGAAGAAGGAACGACTCTGGGGACCAATTTTTCATTTTTCTTTCTTTTCTTTCTTTCTTTCTTTTTTTTTTTTTTTTTTTTTGAGAGTCTTACTCTGTGGCCCAGGCTGGAGTGCAGTGGCACGATCTCTGCTCACTGCAACCTCTGCCTCCAGGGCTCAAATGGTTCCCCTGCCTCAGCCTCCTGAGTAGCTGGGATTACAGGTGCCCACCACCACGCCCGGCTAATTTTTCTATTTTCAGTAGAGACACGGTTTTACTATGATGGCCAGGTTGGTCTTGAACTCCTGACCTCAGGTGATCCAACCGCCTCAGCCTCCCAAAGTGTTGGGATTACAGGCATGAACCACCATTCCCAGCCCGATTTTTCTTTTTAAACCTAAGATGATCGATTTAAATCCTCCAGTGTGAGAAGAGTATATGAAAATTCTCTAGAGGAAAAAGTTCAGTTGACATCTCACAGCCCTAAAATTGAAATTGGGTTTTTGCCTTTTCTTACGGCTTCCTAGTCATCATCGCTGCAAATGTTTTCTGTGCAGCTTTCATCATCATTTACTTTTTTTTTTTTTTTGAGACGGAATCTCGCTCTGTCGCCCAGGCTGCAGTGCAGCAGCGCAATCTCAACTCAGTACAACCTCCGCCTCCTGGGTTCAAGTGATTCTCTCACTTCAGCCTCCCACGTAGCTGGGATGACAGGCATGAGCCACCAGGCCTGGCTAATTTCTGTATTTTTAGTAGAGATGGGGTTTCACCATGTTGGGCAGGCTGGTTTCAAACTCCTGACTTCAAGTGATCCACCCGCCTCGGCCTCCCTAAGTGCTGGGGTTATGGACGTGAGCCGCTGTGCCTGGCTTAATGCTTCTTGTATCTTAAAGTCGTTTAGTAACAGAGGTTCCTGCGAGGACAGGGCTGGCAGCCAGACGCCTGGAGCAGCGATGGGCAGGGTCCTGACCTTACCTGGAGCTGCCGGGGCAGCTGCTGGGCGATCCTCCGCAGCAGGCTGTGCGTGGGCTTCTTGGAACAGAGCAGAGTGAGGCGCACGTTCCTGTCCCCGCGCAGGAGGAGGCCCTTCGCCAGGATGCCCACCCGCATGACACCTTTCAGGACCCGAGCCGGGGGGGCAACGCTGCTGTGGGGACAAAGTCACAGACGTGAGCCATCAGTGGAGAGACGTGGGGTACCCCAGCTGCCTCGCTCCTGAGCGACAGGGACCCTGCCATTTGCAGAGCCCCTCTGTGCCTCGGCATCCTCATCCATGAAATGGGACCAGGCGACTCTGTGGGAGGCGCTTGCGGGATGAAATGAGACACTGTGAGATCGATCTCGGAGGTGCTGTCACCAGGCATGCCTCGGAGTAGCCGGGACGAGTGGCCACACCCACGTTTTCCTGCCCCATGAGCAAACGCTAAGCCCCAGGCCCGCCCTGTGAGGTCTGATGGCTCCAGCGTTCACGGACTCTGTCACCCTGTTGTTTTGGCTCCACATGGTTCAAGAGAGGACAGAAAGCAAGGCTGCATTCTGCCTTTGCTTCACGGGGGTTAAGAAAATTCACAAACTGGCCGGGCGCGGTGGCTCACGCCTGTAATCCCAGCATTTTGGGAGGCCGAGGCGGGCAGATCACTTGAGGTCAGGAGTTTGAGACCAGCCTGGCCAACATGGCGAAAACCCATCTCTACTAAAAATATAAAAATTAGCCGGGCATGGTGGCGGGTGCCTGCAGTCTTAGCTACACGGGAGGCTGAGGCAGGAGAATCGCTTGAACCCGGGAGATGGAGATTGCAGTGAGCCGAGATTATCTCACTGAACTCTAGCCTGGGAGACAGAGCAAGACTCCGTCTCAAAATAATTAATAACAATAATAATAATAATAATAAAAATTAGCTCGGTGTGGTGGTATATTCCTGTAGTTCCAGTACTTGGAAGGCTGAGGCAGGAGAATGGCGTGAACCTGGGAGGCAGAGGTTGCTGTGAGCCGAGATCACGCCGCCATACTCCAGCCTGGGCGACAGAGTGAGACTTGGTCTCCAAAAAAAAAAAGCACAGGGCAGGTTCCTGGGTGCTCGTTGTACTGGGACACTTTGCAACCCACAGGTGCGAGGCTCAAATTTCCTATATGGAGTCAGTACTCTATGCCCCAGCAAAAGGAAACCCTCAGGCCGAGTGGATCAGCCAGACACAAAAGGTCACACGGTGTGCGACTCCATTTCTGTGAACTGTCCAGCACAGGCCAATCCACAGAGACAGGGCGGGCACGCGTGGGTCCATGAAACAAAATGAGGAGTTTGCTTAATCGGGACAGTTTCTGTCTGGGAAGATGAGACAGCTCTGGAGATAACAGGGGTGTTGTTGGCACAACTGTGTGAACGTGCTGTGTGCTCCTGAACCGTGCACTTAGACAGGTTAACATGCTCAGTGTTGTGTGATGTGGATTTTACCACAATAGAAAAGCATTCAAAGATTAGAGTGAACCTGTAATCCCGGCACTTTGGGAGACTGAGGTGGGAGGATCGCATGAACCCAGGAGTTCAAGACCAGCCTGGCCAACATAGCGAGACCCCCTCATTGCTACAAAAAGTTAACAATTAGCTGGGTGTGGTGGTGGGCGCCTGTAGTCCCAGCTACGCGGGAGGCTGAGGCGGGAGGATAGCTTGGGCCCAGGGGTCTGAGGGTCAGTGAGCTCCGATTACGCCACTGCACTCCAGCCTGGGTAACAGAGCGAGATCTGTTTCTTAAAAAACAAAAAGCGGCCGGGCGCGGTGGCTCAAGCTTGTAATCCCGGCACTTTGGGAGGCCGAGACGGGCGGATTACGAGGTCAGGAGATTGAGACCATCCTGGCTAACATGGTGAAACCCCGTCTCTACTAAAAAATATTTTTAAAAAACTAGCCGGGCGTGGTGGCGGGTGCCTGTAGTCCCAGCTACTCAGGAGGCTGAGGCAGGAGAATGGCGTAAGCCTGGGAGGTGGAACTTGCAGCGAGCTGAGATCCGGCCACTGCACTCCAGCCTGGGCGACAGAGCGAGACTCCGTCTCAAAAAAAAAAAAAAAAAAAGCAACAAAAAACAGCAGCTGCCAGAGCAGGAAGGACTTCAACAAAAGGTAACTCCCGCCCGGATGAGTTAACTCCATGGCAATTACTTAGACAACGTAGGGACCTTCTCGCTTCCTAAGAGTCACAGGGGTTTGGAGCTGATTCACACGGGTGCTCAGTGACACAAACCACTCTGATTACTCAACTACTCCCCGAGGCGGAGAAGTCCGTTCAGAATCACGCTCAGCTTCCTTCTGCCGATGAGGAAACTGAGGTTTACAGAGACTGTCAGTCCCTCGTGAACGACGTTTTTAGATGCGCCTTCAACAGCAAAAGGGAACGCTGAGGCATTAGACCCGCATGGACCACCCGCTGCAAACCAACCTCGTTCGGTGCCAAGAAGCTCTGAGACCTGGGGAACTTCCCCCTCCCAGGGCTGGAAAGCTGCCGCGGGCCACCGAGGGCTGAGGGCCCATCAGAGCTGGGGGTTCCTGCAGGGTCTCGTCCCCGAGGAGCTGACCTCTGTCCTGGCTGAGAGCTGGGCCCCGGGGAAGGGGATCTCCAATGACCTGCGCTTGCCGCCCTCTTCCTGTCCGCCGCCCTGGTCCTCCTCGGCCAGCGTGTCAGACACCAGCTTGAGGGCCCGCTCCGCGTGGGACACGACCCTCTGCACGGCGAGGAGCTCCTGCTCCGTGGGGTAGATGGTGGCGTGCTTGCACATGACGTGCCGGTCGTCGCTGGATGCCGGCCGCCGCCGGGGCTGTGGGGAGAGGCCGCACGTGTCAAGGCTGGGCTGTGGGGTCCCTTGGGGAGTGCTGGGCAGGCGGGCAGGTGGGGGCAGGTGGCCGTGGCCAGCCGGGTTACCAGGCAGCAGCACGGCCAGGTGAGAATCCCGTACACACAGAGAGCCCCGGGGTGGGGAACAGGGAGGTGCCTGGGGCTGCCCCTGATGGCTGCAGGAAGCTTGGGTCTGAGCGAAGGAATAGGGGGGAACCTCCGCCACCTTTGGCCATATTTTAAAATTTCCAGACCAGAGGCTTTTGAGTCAGCCTGGAAACCCCTTTCTCACAGCAAGGTGCAAATCTGAGGTTCTCATTGAGGCTGGGCGCGGTGGCTCATGCCTATAATCCTAGCACTTAGGGAGGCTGAGGATCACCTGAGGCCAGGAGTTCTAGACCAGCCTGGGCAACATGGTGAAACCCCATCTCTACTAAAAATACAAGAGAGCCCGGCGTAGTGGCAGGCGCCCGCAGTCCCAGTTACTTGGGAGGCTGAGGCATGAGAATTGCTTAAATTCAGGAGGCAGAGGTTGTAGTGAGCCAAGATTGCACCACTACACTCCAGCCTGGGTGTCAGAGCGAGACTCTGTCAAAAAAAAAGAGGTTCCCATTGAACCTGGGGGCTCGTGCCGCGGGGACAGGTTCCTCTGAGAACAGACAGTAGTAGCCGCAGAGGCACGAGGTTCCCCAAGGGAGGCGACCACCCGGGGCTCCAGGAGGCAGAAGGGTTGTCTGCGGCCCAACGGTAGGGGCTGGGGCGCTGGGGCTGCCATCTGTGGAGTGAGGGGTCCGGGCCGTGGAGCCCCATCCCCTGAGTACTATATGGGAGTTGGCAGGGAGGTCAGGTCCTCCTAAGGAGGTGTCCGCTGCCCCGGGGGGTGTGAGGTTGCCCGCATTTGCACATACAGGAAGCTGTACCTACCTGGAGTTGGGCACTGGTGGGGGGCTCCGGCCTGCCCATGAGCAGAGAGTGGGCCCAGTCGGATGGTGCATGGGGCGGCACGTCCTGGGAAGGCTCCTCCTCCAGCCGCCTGCAGGACCGAGACAGGACAGAGCGTGGTCAGGCCAGCAGCGACCCTGAGCTGGGGGCACATCAGAGACGCTGGGGCCTCATGCTCCCAGCAAGGAAGGCAGGGCCGAAGCTTTTGCTGGGGCTCCGCTGCACTGCATGGGCGCCTGCTGTATGCACAGAAGACTGAGGCTGGGAAGGCTGGTGTTGGGGGGAACCAAACACCCCTTAGGCAAAAGAGGCCCAGCCTGGGCAGCTGCAGCCTTCAGGAAGTCCTGGTCCCCTTCCCAATGCAGACCTGCTGCTGCTGGACACACCAGAGTCAGATGTTACATCAGAAAATGCTCTGGGACGGACACAGGGGACTCCAGAGATCAGGGACACTGGGACACCGGGGGTTAAGGGGACACAGGAGACACTGGGGATGAGGGGACACTAGGAGATCAGGGGGACACAGGGGACTCCAGGGATCAAGGGGACTCAGGGGATACCAAGGGTCAGGAGACACAGAGACACCAGGGAACACAGGGACACCGGGGTCAGGGGACACCAGGGTTCAGGGAACGCAGGGGCATCAGGGGTCAGGGGGTCACAGGGCACACCAGGGGTCAGGGGGACAACAGGGGTCAGGAAAACACAGGGGACTCCAGGGGTCAGGGGTCACAAGGCACACCAGAGGTCGGGGATACAGGGGACACAAAGGTCAGGGGACACAGAGGATGCCAGGGGTCAAGGGGACCCAGGGGACACTGGGGGTAAGGGGTCACAGAGGACATCAGGGGTCGGGGGACCCAGGGGACACCGGGAGTCAGGGAGACACAGGGGACACCGGGGGTAAAGAGTCACAGGGGATACCAGGGGTCAGGGGACCCACGGCCACCAGGGGTAAGGGGACACAGAGGACACCAGGGGTAAGGGGTCACAGAGGACACGAGGTGTCAGGAGACACTAGGGACACTAGGAGTCAGGGGACACAGGGGTCGGGGGACACAGGTCACCAGGTGCCTCTGCAGCCATGCGGTCCAGTGAGTTGGCAGGCAGTGTCCCTGCGTCTGCAGAGGCGCCTGGCACCCACGTGTCAGGTCTGCACACCACTGTGCCTTTGCCCGTCTGCTCTGGAACCCTCTCTCGCTCCCACACCAGGACGTGCCCACTGCCCGGGCACCCGACTCCCCCCACTGCCTGAGAGCTCACACGGGGGATCCCCATAATCTGCAGCGGCGGGCGTCTGGTTCCATGCCGGACCTGCCCTCCCTCGCCAGGCCCCCTTGCCAAGACCCGCAGCCGGGCACCTCCTCTCCACGTGCCAGCGCCGCAGTTGTTCCAGCCGCTCCTCCGCCAGGTGCCGCTGCTTCCTCATCCGCTCCTCCAGGAGCTTCCGAGCCCGGCTGCTGGGCTCCGTGGCAATGGGAAGGTCTGGGTTCACTTTTTTCTGGAAAGGAGAGGCAAGGCTCTGAGAGTAGGGACCTTGCCTTAGACAGGGATGCCGGGAGGGTCTTGGGGTGCAGGGAGAGGCCCAGAGACTAGAACTGTTGGGCTGAAATCTCCCAAAGCCTTTTTTTTTTTTTGGAGACGGAGTCTCGCTCTTGTCTCCCAGGCCCACGTGCAGTGGTGTGGTCTTGGCTCATTACAACCTCCGCCTCCCGGGTTCACCCCATTCTCCTGCCTCAGCCTCCCGAGTAGCTGGGATAACAGGTGCGTGCCACAACATCTGGCTAATGTTTGTATTTTTAGTAAAGATTTCACTATGTTGGCCAGGCTGATCTCTAACTCCTGACCTCAAATGATCCGCCCACCTTGGCCTCCCAAAGTTCTGGGATGACAGGTGTGCGCCACCGCACCCGACCCAAGATACACTGTTGAGACGTGGAGCAAGACTTTGAAAACACAGAAAATCACCCCATCCTCTTAAGTTCATGGGATCACACGGGCAGAAGAGGCCCGACCAGAGGCCTCCCAGCGCCCGCCAGGGCCGAGCACACCCCGGACGGGTGTCGGGGCACCCCCTGCTGGACGCACCCGGTACTGCAGCCGGTGCCGCCGTCCCCTCACGTGCAGGTCCTTGGCGTTAAGGTCGTTGAAACTGCACTCGCACAGCTTACACTGGAAGCGAAGCACTCGCCCTTCCTCGCTGCACACCTGAGACACAAAACAGCCACACGCCCACCAGGCACGAGGCCGGGGGGATGTGAGATGCTACCGACGCCAGGTCACTGCGGAGCCTTCCTCCTTGCTGGTCATTTTATGTATGTATGTATTTTCAGAGACAGGGTCTTGCTGTGTTACCCAGGCTGGACGGCAGTGGCTCCATCTCGGCTCACTGCAGCCTCAAACTCCTGGGCTCAAGTGATCCTCCCACCTCAGCCTCCCGAGTAGTAGCTGGGACCACAGGCATGCACCACCATGGGAAACGGGAGGATTGCTTGAGCCCAAGAGTTCAAGACCAGCCTGGTCAACATAGTGAGACCCCATCTCTACAAAAAAATAATAATAAAAATAAAAAAATTAGCTGGGAGTGGTGGCTCACGCCTGTAGTCCCAGCTACTCAGGAGACTGAGGTGGCAGGATTGATTGAGCTCAGAAGTTTGAGGTTGTAGTGAGCCATGATGGCATCACTGCGCTCCAGCCTCAGTGACAGAGCAAGACCCTGTCTCTTAAAGAATCCCAGGCCTGCAGTCAAGGCAGAGGAAACCCAGCCCCGCCTCTTTGGCACGCGCAAGGCCAACCAGGGTCTGAACTGCCGCTGGCCCGGGAACTGGCAGACCTGGCCCGGGAGCTTGGCTCCACTGCTCACTAGCCTGGCTTTGGCAAGTCCCAAGATCCCCCAGACCCAGGAAAGGAGCTGGATGGAAGGGCCTCCAACCTCCCGGGGAGCTTTCTACTGCCCGGAGCCCTTCCACTTTCCAGACAGATGGCTCCAGGGGGCCCCCTGTTGGGAATGCCTCGGCCTGTCTCTGGCCCTCACGAGGCCATATTCATTTCCTGTTGGTATCCGAAATCTGGCACCCAAAGTGTCAAGCAGGTCTTGAACAGGGTTTGGTCTATGGAGGTCTGGCCTGTGCAGCTCGGGAACGGGGATGGGTCTGTAAATCCCACTGGGAGAAGCCGGGTGAGGTCTCGAAGCCTGACCCATGGGAAAGTCCTTCCCTGACCAGAGCTTGACAGCCTCAGCTTACCTCCTCCACATATTCTGGGCCCACCGGCTGCGCATCAGAGCAGCCCAGGGGAGCTTCCTCCGAGCCTCCTTGGGCGGGTGCTCCAGGACCCTCTGATTTGGGTTGGGCTGGTCTCCCCCTCTGGGGTCGGCAGCCTGCTATCTGCAGCTCAGGAGGCCCTGAGGAGAAAAACCATGTCACTGCCACCCTGTTCCAGGAGAAAGCACTGTGGCTGCGAACCAGCCAGGCGGCATGGGGTAGAGAGCCACCCAGACCCCAGGCTCTGCCTCCTGTGATGTCGGGGGGAATGGCCCCGGGCAGCGACCTCGCTCTCCCTTTCATGCCTGCATGTGACCCAGCCAAGAAACCGAGGCCAGTTTCAATCCGTCAGTGGGGACATCCTGGATTTAGGTCCTCGCTTGAGGAACCCACCGACAGCACAAAATCCACAGTTAATAGACAATGAAGTATCAGGCGGACCAAGGCTCGTACTTAACCTACCCCCGTGAGGCAAAATTATGGAGCCTCGGGTGAGACAAGTATCTTTGTTATCAGAATGACTTGATGGTTTGATCTTCAAAATCATGTTGCTATTCAAGAACCAAGGCTGCTGAGGTTAAAAACAGAATGCGGCTCCCTCAGCCCCTGCCCACGCACAGCACGGTGGTCCAGGGCAGAGACTCTTAGACAGACCCGGGTTCCAACTCCACCTCCATCGTTTACGGCTTTTCCATCTACACATTGGGACTGGTGACAACATTGACTTAAATGGGTTGTGGGCTGGGCACAGTGGCTCATGCCTGTAAACCCAGGGCTGTGGGAGGCCGAGGCAGGAGGATCGCTTAAGCCTAGGAGTTTCTGACCAGCCTGGGCAACATAGCAGAACCCCATCGCTACCAATCCTACAAAAAAAAAACAAATATATAATATAATTATATATATATAATATACACACACACAAAACGTAGTGGGAATGTGGTGGTGGCACACCTGTAGTCCCTAGCTACTCAGGGGCTGAGCTGGGAAGGATCGCTGAGCCAGGAGTGGAGGCTGCAGTGAGCTATGATCCGCACACTCTGCACTCGCAGCCCGGGTGACCAGGAGACTTCGTCAGAAACAAAACAAACCAAAGAAAGAGTTGGTCACTGCGAGGTAAAAGTGAAGCAATGCAACCAACCAGTGCCGATGTGCCCTGGCATTTAATCCTGGGTTACACGTCGGGCCACACTTGACAGCTGGGGTCTTTGCACCAGGGAAGGTAGGTCACAGGCAGAGGCCGCAGGATTCCCACCTTCATTTCCTGGTACCACATAATCTGGTTTGAGCCCCTTTGTTTCACTGTGACCACTACGGGGTGTGCAGGGGAACGAGTCGACACTCGCTCGGTCAGACATCACAACAGCAAACCTCTCTGCGCTTTAGGTCAGGGGCGTGCAAAGAGAGCGTACCAGTGAAAAGACCTGCGCGAGCACCCAGGCGACGCACGCCCAAGACACTGCTGGTGCACGAATGCTGTAATGGCCCCGAGCACTGTTCAGCGGAATGCCGCCTTATGGCTGAGGATTCGCCAGCATCTCTATCTTGGGTGAGGCGGACGGGATAGAGTGGATCATCATGACACATGCGAGCCTGAGTTGCAACCAGGAGCCAAGACCCCGTGTGCTCCATAACATCCGGAAATAGAGAATCCACAAAATTCTGCGTGCCGTCCAGTCGAAAAAGAGGCATACATCGCTGTGGGTATTACATCATGGTGGGGGGGGCCCAGCCTTCTGCGATAATGGAGGCTGACCCAGCATACAGGGAAGAGCTGATGCATTGGAAACGATATCGCCCTGTATGTGATGAGAAGCGTCTGGCAGTGAGGCATGAGGAGTTCAAGCACTAGGGCACGTCCAGCCCGACGACTGAGACTAGAGGCTCCGAGAATCCACACATGAGACAACTAACCAACACAAGAGGATGAGCGAGCCTGAGCTGAAACTTGCGAGAGAGTCCCTCCCTCCATTCTCAAACTCAAACCCCCACACCACCCCGGGAGGAACGGAGTCCCCACCCCTCTGACGGCGGAGCGAGGAGGCACGTGGAGAACGAAACATAGCCGCTATATGGCGCTCAGGAATCGCGTGCGGAGCTGTTCTACGTCAGCGAACATGTGTATGCCACCCTGCGGGAGCAGCGGTGGCCTCAGGGCGCCGCGGAGCGTCTGCGTTACACTTCCGCCCCAGACACTGCGCTCGACCTTCATCGCCAGACAGCGACCACTACATCCCTCCGCGCCATGGCTCAGGCCTCTCCACAGGAGCAACCGACACTGTGCTGACTGTGTTCTGGTGCATGGCCCCATCAGGGAAGAGGAATGCGTGCAGGGCAGAGGAGGAAGGAGCGGGGCAGAGAAACGGGGGAAGGAGAATCCACTGGCCTGGGAATCGAGAGCTAGGGGGCCGGTGGGGCAGAGCTGCAGGCATCCACTCCCTCCCACCAGTTCGGCGGCTTGGTCTGGGGTAGGCAGGCCCCTGCCACCCATTGTGGGTCGGGGGTTACAGGGCAGGTCTTGTGTAGCGCGTGTCAAGAAAACTTGAGCTGGCAAAATGTGTCTGAGATGGTCCCCCAGCACACCTGCCAGGCCCTGTGCACCACCGTACACCTTTGCAGAAGCGCCTTGCCATCTCGGAGGGGCCTGAGAATTAGGGCACGCCAGAAGTAACGGACGCTGTGGCGCGGCCTGCCTCGGGCCACACACGCTACGGTGCCCACCGCGCGTGGCAGTATGCGCGAGGCTTTGAACACCCGTGCGATCCCCATCCAGCCGAAGCATGCAGGGGTAGCCCTCCGAAGCCGATCCGGTCCATGCAGGCTCCAGGGTGGGGGGATGGGCTTCCCCAGGTTTGGTGTGCAGTTGAAGACCTGCAACAGACAGAGCCGGCTCCTGTGTGAGCGGCCGATCCCAGCCACTGATGGCCTTTTCAGAGGCCAGGAAGGGCCCTTCACGGGACGGCGCAGCAACAGCGGGCCAGCGGGGTGGCAGGTTGGTACAACAGGGACCCGCCTTCTCTCCTCACTGCGCTTGAAATCACCCACTCCCAGAAGCCTTCCACAGCGTGGCCCTCCTGCCCTTGCACAACCGTGCTTGTGAGTCCTCATAGCGCACGGTGGACACTCCTCTGACGTGTGGCCACAACACCGCTGAGTCCGCGGACAGTCCGGCCGGGCACACGTCTGCTTCACCGGCTTCACAGCTGGACGCTCTCTCCTCGTTCCACCCAACGTGGCTGAACAGATGGGCCCCTCTCAACCCCAAGCCCCATCTAGTGCCGACTGTCCCGGCGACTCAGCGTGTGGTGGACGGATGTGGGTGTGCCATGCGTCCCGGATGGACACCCACGTTCTGCACGCGCGTGTGCACGTGTCACGTCCGTATTCTGGCCGTGCCCCTATTCTCAGCCCCTGCGATGGCAAGGCGCTCTGGCAAAAGGTGTCGTGTGCACAGGGCCCGCAGTGTTGGCTGGGGACCATCTCAGACACATTTGCCAGCTCCAAGTTTCTGACACGCCTAACACAAGACCTGCCCTGTAACCCCGACCCACAATGGGGTGGCAGGGCCTGCCTAACCCCCAGACCAAGCCCCAGACTGTGGGGGGTGATGCGCCTGCAGCTCTGCCCACGGCCCCTAAGCTCTCCGGCCAGGCCAGTGAAGTCTCCTTCACCCCGTTTCTCGCCCCCGCTCCTTCCTCCTCCATGCCT